GAACTGGAGAGTGTTATGCTAAGTGGAATAAGTCATACAGAGAATGACAGATACCGTATGTTTTCACTCTTATGTGGATCTGAGAAACTTAACAGAAGACCATGGGGAAGGGGAAGGAAAAAAAAAGTTAGGGAGGGAGGGAGCCAAACCATAAGAGACTCTTAAAAACTGAGAATAAACTGAGGGTTGATGGGGGTGGGAGGGAGCGGAAAGTGGGTGATGGGCATTAAGGAGGGTACCTGTTGGGATGAGCACTGGGTGTTGTATGGAAACCAATTTGACAATAAACTTAATACTTAAAAAAAAAAGGACTTTGTTATTCAGAGTCGTGTCCAGTCAAGTCCAAGAATATGAATAAGTGATAGAATTCGATAATACATTTGTTGGACATTGGTTTTAACCAAAGTAGTAAGACCTACTTTTCCATATGGCTCAAAATGTTTTTGAAGGCAATTACAAAGGAGGAGTTCCAAAAACATTCTGTGAAACGGCTGCATCATTGGAATAAATAAATTACCTGTCAACGTAACTACTTTCAAGACTAACACTAATTTGGATGTGTTAGATCTCATTATTATGCAGTCATACCGGGAAGAATGTTTTCATGAGTCTAGCTGCTGCAGCAGGAAAAATAAATGCCACTCATTCCATACATAATTATATATCAGAAGAAAATGAGAAAATAAGACCAGAAAATAGTACTATCTACTGATATTATGATAACACTAATAACCACAGTGAAATGACTAAGCACAAAATACAAAAAGGGAATCCTTCTGGAGAATCATCTTCATTAGCATTAACTTAAAAATATACCAGAATAGTGTGGGATCTATATTAAATAGTTAAGGAAAACAAATATGTTATCTGGGATTTGGTTCAAAATAATGGTGAGGGAAAGTAAAGATGAAATTGGTCTTGAGTACGTTATTATTGAAGTGAGTGAATGCGTAACCTGTCTACTTTTGTTTATGTTTGAAATTTTCCACAGTGAACATTAGGAAAAGAAAAAAATGGCTATGGAAATATACAGTTTTGAAAAATAATCATATCTTAGGACTACATGAATAGAATAAGCAGAACTTTTTTTCCATTGGTAGATTTTTAATAGAAAAGAATTACTCTGTAAGGTTATATGTTAGCTTACGATACTTGGCAGTAACAAAAAAAACCATACCAACTTTGAAGTGGCTACTGGTTGGGAAATGATCTTATCTCTGTAAACTATTTACACTAATATATTTAAGTCAGTGAAGCTACACCTGTCATCCATTATCTTTTAATTTTTTTTTTTTTCAATGTTTATTTATTTTGGGGACAGAGAGAGACAGAGCATGAACGGGGGAGGGGCAGAGAGAGAGGGAGACACAGAATCGGAAACAGGCTCCAGGCTCTGAGCCATCAGCCCAGAACCTGACGCGGGGCTCGAACTCACGGACCGCGAGATCGTGACCTGGCTGAAGTCGGACGCTTAACCGACTGCGCCACCCAGGCGCCCCTGTCATCCATTATCTTTAATGTCAAGGGAATGTGTTTGAAGATACTCTCAAGAGAGTATTATAGGTTTGCCTTCAAATTCCATTAAATGTACAATCATCTACATACATTTAAGTGTTAAATATTATGTGTTTTTTAAACTTGACATTTTGTGGTGAATATGGTTCAAGGAGGGCAGTAAAATATATACTGGCTACAGGTTTTATATATGGAATTCAATGAACTTCACATTGAAATGTGAAGCTGTTGACAGACAGGAATGAACTTTGATTTTGGGTTTATATACTCATCTACACTCTCTAGTTTATCCTTGAAGACCAGCATCATGAAGATGTGGTCAGATGCCTGGAGCATAAGATTCAACCAGGATTACATTTTTTTTTTTCTTTTTCAGGATCACACTTTTGATCTTGGTATTATTGGCAACATAAAATCAAGTGGATGAGGTTGGGGAGATTCCACACTTAGGAATGTGCAAAATTTTGCTCCCTGTGCTAACTTTTCACAAAACAGTTAAATTGTACCTGCTCTTGCCACCTTAACAAGAAAGAAAAAAAAAAGCCTGAAATGGTAAGGATATTTTGTGCTCTAAAAGTGTATGTTTTTAAAATTCTTTAAGTTCTATAGGACATAACGTGACCAGCACCTATTGTCTAACTAGGCTGGGTGAGGTTTTAACTGTGGCTTCCACATTTCCTGGTTGTGTACTTTGGGGCAAGTTACTTTGCCTAAATTTCACCAATTCTAATATGGTCACGTCAATCACAACTCTTCAAATGTGTCATCAGGACTGAATGAGAGACATCAGAGCTAACAGTCTCTGTGAGTATACTATGTCCAGACTCTATTCTAAGCACTAAAAACAGAACTCACTCAATATTCACAACCTCCCTATGATGTTCAAATTCTGCCAGATGAGGACCGGCAGGCAGAGAGATTAGGTGACTTTTTCAAGGGCACTGGTAGGATCAGGATGTGAACTTGGGTGGTCAGAATCCAACGTCTGCATCCTTGACCACTGCAGAAAGCCGGGACAGAACAGAGACTCAAGTATCGTCTATTCTTTCATCTTTGCAGGTCTACAGGTAACTACCTGATGGATGGGGAATCTAAGCATATATTTAAAATAAAGCTCACCTTATTATCAAGGTGATAAATGCCTTCCCTATGGTTATTTTTTTAAAAGACTAATATTTAAGTGGAATCATACAATTTATGCAAAATCTGGCATTTCTTAGGGTTATCTAGTTTAGAGTATCAAATATCACATTTTCCAAAACGGTGTTTTACAAAAAGAAGTTAACTAGATAATATGCCATCCTCTCTTTCCAATAGTGATAAAAGTAATAAAACAACTTCTATTGAAAGCAGGATATTTTAAATGACCTGAGTAAATAAATAACAATTTTTAACATTTCCATTCAATCTTAATGAAAACATGGTAATGGTAATTTCCTTCTCTTAAGAATAAATGAGCTTTCTGGGGCGCTTGGGTGGCTCAGTTGGTTAAACGTCCGACTTTGGCTTAGGTCAGATCTCATGGTTCGTGGGTTCAAGCCCCACGTCAGGCTCTGCGCCAACAGCTCAGAGCCTGGAGCCTGCTTTGAATTCTGTCTCTCTCTCTCTCTCTGCCTCTATCCTGCTCATGCTCTGTCTCTGTCTGTCAAAAATAAATAAACATTAAAAAAAAAGAAGAAATGAGCTTTCTTAGAAAAATGTGTATTGATTCTACACTAGTGAACAGTATTAATAGAATTATATTAATGTTACGGAAAAACAACAAATAAAAAGATGGTCAAAATTTTACTACATTCTCGAAGGATTCAACAAAAGGGAATATCTACAGCATTAAAGTTGAATTATCTACCAAAAGTAAGAAGCCTTGGAATATTTTTAAAAATGGTAAAAATTATTCAGTTGTGTGTAGGTGTTGAAATTGGAAGACGCTCCAAGCAATGAGCTTAGATGTGATGACTCATCAGTTATCACATGAACCAAACAGCTGTCTCTATCAGTATTATAGGTATGGGGTTTACTGCAAATTGTTACCAAATCTCCACTTTATTGCAATAAAATTCAAGTTGAAAAAGATTAAATAATGTTATTGGACTTCCATGCATATTGGAAATGTGGCTAAATCATAAAACGCACGTATAACCTGAAAATAAAAATATAACCACTTATAAAACCACAATGTTTTCTATAGTTACCAGCACTAAAAGAACCTGTTTTCTGAAGTTTCATTGGCCACTAAATCATGATGAATTAGAGAAACGGCAAAATAAATTTATACTGTTGTAAATGAAAATGTAAATCCATGTGGGGGGGGTGGTTTAAGGGAACACAAAAATCCAGAAATTAAAACTATAAAATGCCATCTTTAATTAATTCTAAAATTAATTAGATTCCAGTTAACTTTAGTCCTTGGTAGCATTAGTCTTCCAACATTTGTCCCAGACATTTAATTTTAAAAATATTCCTTTTCTAGCCCATATTCATTTAGATTTAGCAAACGAATGAAAAGATGTGAAGAGCATTTCCACTTCTTAGGTAGGTTTCAATAGCATCTTTTTTGTGGCTCTGTAGAGTACGTAAAGAGCAGCAGAAGGTGGCAGTGCTGCGCTAAAAAACATCAAACTTCTTGAGTTCCAACTGAAATCAGCTAGGTCACAGCCCAGGGACCCAAAGTTGATCATTACAGACTTTATTACAGATACATAATGCAGAACTCTAGCAGGCCTAACCATTAAATTAAATGTTTGTAACATGACTAAAGGTTACACAATAGGAAGTCAAGGATATTCGATGGATTTTAAGAAATACATACTTTACGGCATTGTTACCCTATTTTATCGATAATGCTTTTCCCCCCGAAAGTAGTGAAATGTGTTTATCAAAACAACAAAATGCAAATCTCTTAAAGGAATCAATGAGACAGAAAGGTCCATGCAGCTTACCATTCATCAGGAGAGCAGCCATAATCCTCAGGTTCAGGGACATGGCTTCAGAAAGCAAGAGGAGGGGCAGAAAGAGAGGAAAAAATAATCACAGAAAGGCTCAAAACATAAAAGCATGAATAAAGGAAGTACTGAAAGATGGATCTTGAAAAAGTTAAGAAAATGAACTTTTAGTTGATTTTGAAAGAATGGCAGTTAGCATAGAATTAGAACATGATGATTTATGGTAACTGAGCAGGTTTACAAAATTATTCTATAATAGGAAAGCCAAATTGCCTCTTGACCATGGAATTTACTCATTTTATTCACAGAATATTCAAAAAGAAATATTTCAACCTAGAGGTTTAAATACATGCTAAAACCAATGGAAAATTAATTACATGTTGTATAATCAGAATAAAGTATTTTAATGAAACAAACATGCTAATACCTAGGAACAAACGATCATATTGATAAAATTTCCCAGGTACATTTGAGAAGTAAATTTAACCACCATGAAGTAATGTGTCTTTAAACAGGTATAATATTACAGTAAAATATTACATTTCTATAATTAAATGGAACTGCATTTTAAAAGATGAACTGATAGAATTTGTCACTGAAACCATAATTCACTCATTAAGCCATTTGTTATCTCAAACAGAACACACATTCATCAATAAGTTTAATTTCATCCGTTAGCTCATTTGAGAACCAGGAAAAGTCTGACTGATGTATTGCTTTTGCTTCAACCAGCCAGTCATGCATTTAGTCAGAAGTGGTTCATTTACTACATGACAGAGCAGATTTTCTTTCCTCTCTTCACGGATTTATTAAATTTTTATTTTCATTGTTTAAATTTTTTCAGCTTTATGGAGATATAATCGATGTATAACACTGTACAAGTTTAAGGTATACAACATGATTACTTGATACACTTACATACTGCAAAATGATTACCACCACAGTGTTAGCTAACACCTCTGTCACATGGGTACCATTTCTTCTTTTGTGGTAGGAAAAGGTAAGATCTATTCTCTCAGCAGCTAGAACAGATTTTCTCATCTCTCATTTCTTTAACGATATATGACCACTCCATATTTTTTCTTTAAATTAAATTTGTTAGGTAGGGCTTAAAAAAAATACAGAGTTGAGTACAAATGTAAAGTCACTGTTTTTGACAAATGTAACATTTCACTGAAAACTTGTGGTGTCCTTTCACTCCCTCAGTGTCCATCCCACTCTTTACCTTTCCACCCAACTGGCTATGACATATGTGGGCCTCATCATTCCAAGGCACCTCTTCCACCTCCAAAGCATTAAACCTCCTCCAGAGCAGTATGCAAGGCATAGTCATAAAAGGCAGTCCCCTCTACTCTCTATTCTCTATTCTCTCTATTCTCTCTCTATTCTCTCTCTCTATTCTCCTCTGGTTTACCAAAGGACTTTTGTTGATGCTTGAGAGGAAGGGCTAACCAAGCCTCTTGTGGGCTGGACTCCCAGAAACACTCTGTGGAAACTGGCTGAAGCCCAGCGCTTAAGGCAATCACTTCTCATCAACCTCAAAGCTTGGACTCTAGCCCTCCACACTATACCAGAGGAGGGCCAGTGATACCCAAGCAAAAACACCGTGCCAAGGCTCTGCCAAGTTGCACTGGTGTTGGACAGCAGTGGCCGATCTCACATCAGGAGACAGGCCGTTGCTTCTCAAGTCATACAGGTTAAACGATGCAAAGCTGAAGGCTCAGGGTCCCTCTCCCCGGTTCTGGTCCAGCCCTGGCTGAGGCTGAGCTGAGCACTATTCAAATGAGATGAGCAGTAGGAGAACCACACACCTGCTACTGAACCTGTCTGCATGAATGTGCCCATGGCTGCTGCTCCAGCAGCTCGGGGATGCATGTGCTATCTGGTCATTTGCTGGTGTGTGCATGTCAACACTGCTGTATCTGCCTGGTAAGCTCTTCACTTAACCAAACCCATTCTTAGATCTCAGCTCAAGTATCACTTTTTCAGAGAGCAGTCCCTGACCTGCCTGATTTGATCAAATCCCCATCACAGACTCAAATGGACCTCTGTACTGTGTTTTATTTTTGTTTGATGACTTAATTCACATCCATTAACCCCTAATTAGGTCATAAACTAATTAGATTAAAAGCTGTTACATCCCCATCATCTAACAAAACGTCACATACAGAGAAGGAGATAAAAATATTTGTTCAGGTATGTAAATAAGCAAACAAATGGTGTTTACCCAGCTCTTACCATGGTGGGTGGTAAGATAAATTTGTTGGTTATAATCTAGACCTTGGGGGGAAGTTTTATGACAATTGTGATATTTCTTGTGGTGAATCTCTTCTCAGTGTACTGATCCTTTCAGTAAACATATTGCTAAACAAAATACCATCATGTTAAGCTATTCACATATTGTATTAATACATAAAGATTGCTTTTTAAAAAATATTTTTAATGTTTATTTTTGAGAGAGAGACAGGGACAGCGTGAGCGGTGGGGGGGGGGGGGGGGGGGGGGGGGGGGCAAAGGGGGGAGGACAGAGGATCTGACAGCAGAAAGCCCGATGTGGGGCCTGAACTCATGAACAATGAGATCATGACCTGAGCTGAAGTGAGACACTTAACTGACTGAGCCACCCAGGCGTCTCTCCATAAAGATTGCTTTTTAGAAAATTCATTATTTACTTAAAGGGAAAATGTCAATGAAATGTTTTTAACACTGATTAAATGGCGAAGTCAACAAAAATCAGTTTAGTTTCTGTACTAGAAATTTTTTTTTTAACTTTAGAGACTGTACTATGTTAAGCCTTGCCCAGCTTATCAGCTTAATCTAATAGTAAGGTCTAAATTATCAACAAAGGATTATACTTAGGACTGTATTATATATGCCGATAATATTCACTGTATAGAGAGTCCTAGACACTGAACATAGAAGCCTCTTTAGCCATTCATGGTATTTAAGTTACTATGATAAAACTGACTCATTCTCTACAGGAAGGAATTTGTGGAAATGACACTTTAACAAATGTTTAACAGTAGAATTTCTAGTTTGTAGTAAGTTAAATTTACAAATGACATCATTTTACATTTAATCAAAGAAAGATCTAATGAAACAATCTAATAAGTTTAAGCACAGTGGCAATCTGACAAAGTGGATCGCTATAAAATAATCATTGCTAAGCATGTACAAATCTTTATTTCGTTGCCCACCATAAATCCAATTTGGGGCAGTGGTTATGGCAAATGAGAGAAAACTTACCAAGACTAAATTCTGAAGCACTGCTTTCAGTGTTAAAAATCTTTTCACAAATCTAAGGAATGCTAGGAAAAAATTATACTTCAAGTCTTATCCTTTAAACTCATAAAAGCCAACAGAACTCCTTACCTAGGGTAAAACTAGGGTTTGTTTTACTTCTTAAAAATGCTGAAGGAGGATCAGTTCTGAAATTGTGACCCCAAAGGCATTTGTTAGTCTGTGAAAATGTGTGGTGTTCTTTGCTTTGCCACATCCTGGGGGGATAAATACCATCCTTTCTTCTGCTGGAGTTGAAAGTGCATGTACATAATAGTTCCCCATATTAAACAAGTGTTAACACTGCTATAGTGCAAATGGGATTGCAAAACCATGTTATTTCCCCATCTGGGTTCTGATGACCCGAGAGTGCCTGAGGAAATTCTCATAGGAAGATGGTTGACAGTAATTACTTTTCTTGCTGAGTTTGGTGGAATTAAGGAACAGTGGTGTGCCTCCTACTGTAAACACCTAAGTATCTGAAGCCTCCCGGATCAACAACTTCATATATGAACAACTCTACAATGTTGACATTCCAAATGTCCATCAGGATATTTGGGGGAGGGGATGCTGATGAAGCGCTATCAGGGCTAAGGATCCTAAAAGCACATACCCAATACAACATAATTATTGGAAGCAGTTTAACTAGCTTCACTCAGCAAGGCTTCTGGGATTCTCAGAAACATGATATATCACCCAGGAAAGAGATGTATGTCTGTTTATGTAGTTAAATTTTGCAAACAAAGAAACACCTGTTTTTTTTTTCTTTTTTAATTTCTAAACACACTTTTTTGATTTTTATATCCAGAATTTTATATCTGGAAAAAAACTGTAGAGATACCATATCTCACTATCCTCATTGTAAGGAATTTAGAACATTTGAAAAGAATTATTGATAGTTACATGGTGAGTCAGTTACAAAGCTAGGACTAGGGGTCATGCCTTATGGCTGCACCTCAGTATTAAGAGATGTTATTTTCCCAAGAAGAATTTGTCTTACTGGAAGCTTAATCTAAATTTTGACAGTTCTTAACTCTTTAAGTTTATTTATTTATTTTTGAGAGACAGAGAGAGAGCGTGAGCGCACAAGCAGGGAAGTGACAGGGAGACAGAGAATCCCAAACAGCTGACAGCACAGAGACCTATGTGGGGCTTGAACTCACAAACCATGAGGTCATACCCTGAGCTGAAATGGAGAGTTGGATGTTTAACTGACTGAGCCACGCAGGCGCCCCAACCCTTAATACTACTTTAATATTTACCAGTCTCAACCCTACAGGGTCATATAACAGTGGTTAATGCTGATTATCATCAATGGATCCAGGAGAACCCTGCTATTTAGAACTCCTGCCTGGAAGTGTTGAAGGACTTGTTTCAAGAATAAGAAAACACTTGATAAAATGAAGGAGAGAGGCTAGACCTCATTCTAGCTTTCTGTTCTCCTAAGTTCATAATCAATAATTACTAATTTGAAGAACTTGCTTATTGTACTGGAAACCGGCAAAATAAAAAAAGGATGTCAATTATCAAACAGACCACTCTAAAAATAAATTCACTTATGAATGCAGAATTTTTGTAAAAACAATCTCCACAAATCTGTCAGCAAGTATAATTCAACAAACTGTAGAATCCTGTAGAATCACAATAGGCCTTTCCTTTCTTGCCTGGGGTAACTGTGGGTCAAATACACATGACGTCACAAAACGTGGCTCTGTCTCCCCCAAAATGGCAGCTAACTAAATTACAATGCCGGTAGCAATCGGTGGGGAGGAGTAAGGAGAGCCTTTTCTAGGGGAACTGGGGGAGCTCTGGATAAAGAGGAAAGATGCAAAGTGGCATCCAGCCCTGGAAACAGTGAGCACGCTTCTTAAATTAACATCCTGTCTCCGCAAGTGTGAAAAAGCCATTCAATCAAATGTCTTTTCAGCTTCAATTACACACATAGTTTGAAGCCATTTTTAGTCACTGTCTCTGCGAACCCAAAGAATATCTGCCTTCATCTACTTCTCTTTGTAGACCCTTGTACAGGAGTCACCATTTGTTTTTAGAATTTTTAACAAATGGCTATTTATTTATAATTTTAACTATGGCATTTTCAAAATTCATCCATAATTTTTATACTAGCTTACTGCTTGGAGACAGAGTGTGAATGGGGAAGAGTGGGTACAAGCCAGAAAACCCAAATGCGAGTGCCCTTGCCTGAATGGTAAAGAGATCAGTATTTCCCAGTCTCACTTGTAGATAAAGACAGTTGGAAAATCTGATAATAGGTCATGGTCAAGGTCATTCCAGACAATGAGAGTGTTTCAACTTTTGATCATGTCCTTTTAGGAAATGTACAAATTAATTTTCTCACATTACCCTATAAAGTATTTCAAAAGGCTTTTGAATGGTTTAGGCAAACATAACTCGAAGAAAGAAAGAAATGGGTTCTAAACAAACACATTCAAAAGAACATTGTGAGCCTGTTAAATATTTCTGATGGCATTCATCACGCCCTGGATTTAAGAGTTTCGTGTCCCTACCTCCTTCCCATCATCAGAAATTTAGACTGCTCTGTGACTGCAAAGAGGAGAGGTGGTAAAAGAAAAAAAAAAAAAAATCACAGGGATAACTATCAGGGAAACAACAATATTTTAACTTGGAAACTGCCCAAGGACACTTTGCATGTTCTTACAACATTGTACTCTAACTTTATGGCAATGCAGAGGGAACTGTGTTTGTACCCCGTGACGGGAGCCAGACAGTGACCTTCAGCAACTCTAAATACGGATATACTACTGGGCAGAATTCCCCCCCCTAGGTAATTCCAAAAGACAAACAAATCCAGACTGCAACACACAAAACATACATGGCTGCTGGCGTCAAAATAGGGACTTTCAATTAAAAAAATTTCCCCTGATGAGAACTCTCAAAATGTACCAAACTATTAGCAGTAATTAAATGTATATATTCATACTCTAATTAGGGGGAAAAAACTCACCCATATGCAACTCCAGCTATGGTACACTTCTTAAACTGCATCACATTGCAGGTCAGAGTGCCTGTCTTATCAGAAAATATGTATTTGACCTAAAAAAGTGTAAAATTTCTCATTAAAATTTCAGAAGTCTTTAACGTTTTTTTTAACGTTTATTCATTTTTGAGAGACAGAGAGACAGACAGCACAAGCAGGGGTGGGACGGGGTGGGCAGGGGAGGGAGACACAGAATCCTAAGCAGGTTCCAGGCTCTGAGCTGTCAGCACAGAGCCCAATGCGGGGCTTGAACCCACGAATTGCGAGATCATAACCTGAGTTGAAGTTGGACGCTTAATTGACGGGGCCACTAAGGAGCCCCTTCAGAAGTCTTTTTATGCTACTCTCTCACAGAAGAGGAAAATACCCCTTAAATAATTCTTTTTATCAATCTTGTTACATTTTAGGGCTACAATGAATGCTATTAACTGCACATTAAGTAATATGTTCAACTGCTTTTTTTTTTAAGTATTTTAGCAATGAATCATCTCATGTATGAACAGTGAAGACTATCAGGATGTTAGAAAACCCTGTAGCCATGTAGCAATCTGCCGTGATATGGTCTGAATTTCCACTAGAAAACACCACTCCTGCTACTTAACATTTATGGAGCACTAAAACCAGCACTTCTCAACATAACACACAACTACAGAGGGGGAATAGCTTGTGCAATTAACTTCACGCAACATCTGAATGGGTAAGAAAAAGGATAATTCTGGCCTAAATGCTATTTAAAAAGTAAGACTTTGCAAATGGCAAAAAAAAAAAAAAAAAAAAAAAAAAAAAAAAAAAAAAAAAAAAAAAAAAAAAAAAAAAAAAGAAGAATTTTTCCTCAGCTAGTATGTGTAAATTGATTACAAATATACACATATATGTGAATATAGTATCAATTTTAAGTCCAAAATTCCTGTTTGATTACTTTCATACTTGGACTTACATAACATCACTGATCGATGTAACCATTTTTCTTCCTTTCTGGTCAAAAGCTACGAGCAATTTTTTTTTTTTTTCAACGTTTTTATTTATTTTTGGGACAGAGAGAGACAGAGCATGAACGGGGGAGGGGCAGAGAGAGAGGGAGACACAGAATCGGAAACAGGCTCCAGGCTCTGAGCCATCAGCCCAGAGCCTGACGCGGGGCTCGAACCCACGGACCGCGAGATCGTGACCTGGCTGAAGTCGGACGCTTAACCGACTGCGCCACCCAGGCGCCCCAGGAGCAATTTTAATAGTGAGAGTTTATAACTCAAAAACAGCCAACACTTTACTACTAACCAGATTACACACTGAAGGACATCCCTTAGTGAAATACTTCAGGTGAGAGCAAAATATGTTTTACATAATGTTTTTAAAAAATTCATTTACTACAAATGAAAATTGATAGTTATCTGCTAACACGTACGTATGCCGATCATTCAAGCAATGGGACATTTGGAGCTGTCGGTTCAGATGAAGTTGCCACCTATGGCAGAAACGACAACAAATCTGACTTCCAATTCAACACATCACTAAGAAATTTAGTTTACCTGGCCAAGTTCCTCGTTCAGATTAGATGTTCGAGCCATCGCAGCAGTGTCTGTGGGTTCATAGTGCATGTCGAGATCCTTTTTTTCAAAATAAAAGAAATTACTGAATGCAACTGGTATCAAGAGGTTGACTGAAATTTCATTTAGCTCAGGAGCTATATATGTAACCACTCTCATCTCTTGCCATCACTTTACCATTTCAGTTGATTTCCCTGAAAAGGACTCAGTATAGAATATTATATTTCCTGGTAAGGGCAGGACAGCTTGGTAATTAGAGCATATCTCTGGAATCAGGCAGTCTTAAAAAAAAATTTTTTTTTAATGTTTATTTATTTTTGGGAGAGAGAGAGACAGACAGACCATGAGTGTGGGAGGGGCAGAGAGAGGGAGACACAGAATCTGAAGCAGGCTCCAGGCTCTGAGCTGTTAGCACAGAGCCCGACCCGGGAGTCAAACTCACGAACCATGAGATCATGACCTGAGCTGAAGTCGGATGCTTAACCGACTGAGCCACCCAGGTGCCCCTGGAATCAGGCAATCTTGATTTATTATAGTTCTACCATTTTCTAGATATGTGACCTATTGTAAGGTTAAATAAGATAACGTATGTAAAGTGCTTCCTAAGGTGTCCAACACAATATAAGTCCTTAATGTAGTTAAAATAATAGCAACTAGACATTGCTCAAATAATTAAGATTGAAAGCCCCTGGAAAATTTACCTAAGAGATTCTGTCTGGTTGTACTTTCTTGGCCTAAGTTTCTGCCACTGTATATACTTGAAAGTAAAATGAGTGCCCTTCTCAAAACCCAATAAAAAATGTACAGCTTTGTACCATTTGTACTTGCTTTGTTCACATAAATTATGAGGTGTGACTATTAATCTTATACAAATTAGTATCTTCTACAGTATAATATTTTGTTGGCAAGTCAGGGTTCACAGGTTTTCACATGTCAAACGAAAAGGACAAATCTGATCTTTCCCACATCTGCATTCCCCATCTGCTGATGGGGATCAGTTCTAAAGTAGGCTGTGTTGTTGTAGGTACCATGTTTTAAGCAGGATATTAACCAAGTGGACAATGTTCAGAGAGGAATAAAGGAATGGGGAGTAGGTTGGAAATCAAATCTAGTAAGGAACAGAAGGATATGGGAGAAGATACCATAGGACAATAGGCATCGTAGCTGAGTTCTAATACTTTGCAAGGCTATCATTCAGAAACAAGGTTTTAGACATTTTCATAAAAGATCAGGTAGAACCAGTATCAAAGGGGAGCAATTATTCATCTCATTTCTACACAAGAAAGAGCTTTCTGGTAAGGGAAGACCTGTCAAGAATGTTATAAAATCTCTGTATAACAGAAAGGTAGTTGAAAAAAGCATAAGCCTGCTAGGTTACTCCAACATTCAAACTATGTCATTATTTGAAGAAAATATTATTTTTGAAAATCCACGTAAAAAATAATAAAGTGACTAGTTATTTGACTTTCATAATGAATCACTTTATGATTTCTTATTGTAAGTGGGAAACCTTAATTTTAATCCTGTTTTTAACTCTATTTACACAAATTTTATTACATAATTCTTCAGCAATGTATCTCCTTGCATGAAATAAGCCACACCTGCAGCTCATTTTAGATTTCTAAATTATACTGGTCTTCTGAATGAATTAGCAATTGACTGCTGAGGCAGGTCATTCACCATGAGCAGTGGCAAAAGTATCGTCAGTTATATTTTAGAAAATCCCAATACTGTCCATTTGAAAGACTTTTAAATTATTAAAAAAAAAAAATAACATCAAAAGATAGTACCAGAATTTCTCAAAAAAAAAAAAAATTAAAACTTTCTGGCAGATTAAGTCTGAAGATGTATTCAATTTACATAAATTCATTAATTTTAACTGTGGTAAAATAAAATTAAGAACACATTTTATAAAGAAAATATTTAGGAAACAGATGTCCAGCACATTTTTTTCCCAAGATTAAAAAAATTTTTTTCAGAAGAAAAAAATAAGAAAAATTTAAGCACAGTTGAATTTGTTTACAGTATGGAAAAATAAACTACATAGATATATAAAACACGATAGACAGCCTGGTTGTTACAAATAATGAATGTGGTATTATTTCTCCAGCACTTAATCGTTGAGGAGGCTGTGAGATTTCTCTGTGAGATCTTTGTCGTGAGATTTCTTTGCTCTGTATCACCACCATGAGATGTTGGTAAACTGTGTTTTATCATTCCTGTGTAAGGGTCCAGGAAAATCAGCCTCAAAGAAGTCAAGTGGCTTGGCAAAGTTCACACAGCTAGGAAATACAGAGCTACAACTATAGTCTAGATATTTTAGCTCCACACCCCATGGTTCTCCTTTTCCCCAAGATCACTATGAAACCCAAAATAGGTTTCCTGGAGATCTTGTTCCCCAGAATGTCGGGTCCGTAAACTGGTGTGATTCTGAGATGAGAGATTTTGCTACTGATTTTACATGTCAAATGATTTTTGTTATAATTATATTAGAGCCATAAATATTTTGAAATGCCATCTTGTAGACAACAAAAGGTAAGGTATAATTAAGATTTTGTTTCTGAGAGATCAAAAGACGCTATCAGGAAAAAAGACAAAATGCATACTTAGAATGATGAAAAACAATAATAATTCATATTTACCCAATTTATGAAGTACGCCTGGGTAAATTTCACCACTTCTAATGTCACCAACAAGCTGATAGGAATGAGATTGTTGAAAAGGATGATGAAGGTCAAGAAATTCAGTCCAAAATTATTAGCACCACCATCTGTTGGGGGAGGTGGGAAGAAAGTCATTTACCGTTTTATTTTTCATCTGCATTGGCCAGAACTTTAGCGTAACAAAAATTTTCCATATCATACAACAGATGCATATAGTTAGGCGGGATTCACTGCGCTGATAACATCTCCTTATTTTCAAATACATTCAGGATGGAACAGCACTATTTGTGTTCAATATGTTGTTAGTCCTGTTAAGAGCTTCATAATGGTATGAAAGAATGAAGCACTACCAAGTATTTCAAATCCTGTTCCAAATAGGAAGTTTAGAGATAGCAGGGATAGGACTGTGGGTTTATAAATGTAAAATCTCAATTGGGTAGAATCACTTTTATATAAACTCTTAAAAAAGACTTTAAAGCATGCCTGGAAAGCAATCAAACAAAAACAGCAGCAGGAAAACTAACCCCAGTAGCAAAAACAATGTAGGGCTGTACTTTAGGTAAACTACATTCTTCCTCTTCAATAAAGAAAATGGAACAGCTACCCCAGACACACAAGAAACAAACTGATGGTACTCATAACAGTTCTAATGTTGAAATAGTAAATCAATGACTGTAAAAAAAAAAAAAAAAAAAAAAAAAAAAAAAAAAAAAAAGTTGGAACAGCTGCAAAACTAAATCAATATAATAAAAACTGAAAAAAATCAATTTTGCTACCAGGTTTTACTAGAATTTGTTTTTGTATGTTTGGAAATTAAATATTTATTGGCAATCAAAAGACAATGCAAACTTATTTTCCAGAAATATTCAGAGATGGTACATTAACCCCATAACAGTAAAAGGATAGATGGTCCAAAAAGAACCTATTTAATAGGACTTTCCCTGAGACAGGATCACCATTAACATGGAATTTAACTGCATTCATAGGTTCAAATTAAAGTACGTTCAATTTAAACATTTCACAAGCATGTGGTTTACTTTTGGTGCTTTAAATATAATCAATCTGCTTTCTTTACCCAGATAGCTACCTAACCACCCGTGTTAAAATATTTTAAAGAATAAATGAATAACATTAAATAAAATACAAAATAACATTTTCTGTTATTACAGAGTGCTCATTGTATTTTTAAGAATTCTCAAATTTTAGAGACTCTAACATTTTACTTCCTTTTGCTGGAAACTGCATTGAAAAATAAAAATTAAATGCCAAGTTATCTTGGCAACAAGGTTTCCTTTTTAGGAATAATAGGAAATCTCAAGTCAGCCGTGAAATAAATACACGTTTTAATGAAAGAAAAACTAAGTACAATAGGCACTTTAATGCTTACAGTTTAGATTGAGATACCAGTGCTTTCCAGAATGCCTCCGATTCCAAATGGCTGAACCCACAGAACAGATAAGAGACATGGCAATTAAGATACAAAATAAAATCAAAATTTGTACATTTGTAATCCGTTCCACATTTGAGAGTTTAAGTGGTGGACTTGTTGAATTCTGTAAAAAGAAACAATATGAGCAATAAAAATGAGTACAGATTGATTTAGTAATGTATATTTGGTATTTTGATGAAGACGACAGAGTAAGTCACACCTCAAAATCTAGACATGAGTAGATACATGAAAATTACACAGAAATAAGCTGTCAAATGTTAACCACCTTTCCCTCCCCACCCCACCCATATCTTTATCTAAGGTAAAACAATAAAAAGAGAAGGAAATGATATTCTTTTATAGACACGACTTTTGCATTGAGGCAGGCAAGATGAACCATGCATTACTTGACTACTTAGACTAGAAGCATCTAGCATCTCAGCTCTGGAAGAGAGGCAGAGAAGGTGGCCTATGCACCCACAACCAGAGACCTGGAAGTTCCAAACTATGAAGACCACATTTATTTTTTTTTTTATTTTTATTATTTTTTTTTTGAAGACCACATTTAAAGGATCTCTGGTTTCCACATTTCTGGTGGCAGTTAGCAACTCTTTTACTGAATACAGCAACCATCTAAGTGGCCCTGGCTGTAGGAAATGACAGAGGTTTCCTCAGTTTATTTAATGATAAAAATCATCACGATAGGTCAGTGCTAACCAAGGCATCCACAGAAGAGAAAATTAAATCTGTAATAATAGATATAAAATAATGGCTTACAGAATTTATAGAATGGCTAGGGGTGGAATCATTAATAGCAGTCCTGTCTGCCTGTTGATAATGTCTCCACGACTTTACAAAGTTATCAGAACTGAAACCAGTTTTTCATTTAGTATCTTAAAATGGTATTCCCTACCCACCTAACCAGTGAACACTCCTATTATATCCCCAGGCACATGTAAACACTAGAAGTGCGAAGACTAAAGTTGATTAAACGTGGGCTAACATTAAAAATGTTACCAAAAAATGGTCAACATTTGACTTTCAGATTCTTTTCGTTTTATGAAAAAGTGAAACCAAGTTCTAAAATTTGATCACTGTATTAAAATAAAATTATAAGACAAACACTTTAACGTAGAGCACTCGTCATTACATACACATCTAGTATTAACCACTGCAATAGTTAGTAAACGCTGCCACGGGCCAACACACAAAATCATTAAGAGTTCATGCACTGTTGATGCCTGATGAACTTTCCACTTTTCTCGTGTGCATGAACCATTTCATAGCCCCACACACCGAAGAATGAGATTCTGAATGTATAGAGTGGGGCTCAGGAATCTGTGACAGATGGTCTGCTGTGTTTCACACTACTGCATAGAGAGCTACAAATAGCACATTTTTCAAGAGAATAGGTCCAAAAAGTTTTCATAGATAAGAATCCCACCTGCATCAGCTTGGTATCATGTCCGGTGTAGACAACTATTCCATGAACCCACTGTGTGTTTCTCAACTGGGCGCCTCGAAGAAGAATCTGATCTGCTCCCAGGGGGACAGTGCTAGGACAGATCATGTGACATTAGAAACACTTTCTAAAATGCTTAAGAATTCTATAGTTATTACATAGTTCCCACAAAGGTTCTGTTATTAAAACAACCCTTCTCACATTCACTTTATTTTTAGAAAAGAAGTAATTCTCCTACCAGTAAGAATAATTTTCTTACCCAAGGACAGCTGGAAGGAAGCATTCCAGTTGCTTCTCCTTAGCACCAAACCAGCCATTTCCTACAACTTCATTATCCAAGACAGTAGGCAGTATTTTAGAACTCAGAGGTTAATTTTCAAACCCATTTTAGACTCTTCCTGATTTAGTAAGTCTGTTTAGGTTTCTAAGATGTTTGGAAGCGGTGAGATTAGGGGATCTGCTCCCCTCCCACACCTAATTAAAAACAGCTTTGTGCATAATAAAAGTCCAAATAATATACAAAGCAAGGTAAATACATAGATCTCATCATCCACTTGCATTGCCACCCCTGCCCTGCAGAGGTTAAGTCCCTGTATTTAAAATCTCTAGGATAATTTATCATATTCGAATATCAATTATCTAAGAACTATGAATAAGTTTCCAATAAATGGTAAGCATCTAATGTTTTAAAACATTCCTCTGAAATGACAGCAAATTGAAGATATCTATTCCATCTAATTTAAAACACATTTTTCATTTTTCATGAATAAAGGCCAACTTGAGTCTTTTGCAAGTTCTTTGTAAAACTATCCACACTGGTAACTTGTTGGTTGACACAACCTTACACAGAGAGGTACAAGCTATCAGAGATATAGTGGGATTCTTGATGGAGATGTACTACACAAAATGTAATGGCTTAAGGATTTCTATCACTAGGTCTTCATTTTAGGAAAAAAAGCAAGAAAGAAATGTCAGATATAAAGAAAAATACATTAAAAAAAAAACAACCTGGAAAAAGAAGGCAACAGTTGGTCCAAGTAAAGTCTCCGGAGAACCCAGAACTTCTTACAGAACTTCTTTGCCAGCAGAGGGCAAAGTGAGGTTGAGTCTTGCATTCCTGGTGGGCTTTCATGGTCTGTTAGGTGGCTAAAGCTAGTAGCAGCTTGGGCCTTAGACCTTCTTTCAAGAACTGCCCAACGATCACTGGCTCAGGTGACATCAGTTCAGGTCATAACAGCACCTGAAGGCCTCTACTTAAGTAAGCCTTTAAGAAACGGCGTATGCCAATTTAGAAAAAGACTACAGTATCTATAATTCTCATTCTTTCTGTAAACAGCATGCTTTTCAGACCCAGCTGGAAGGGAACCCTTTGTGTATATGTCTCAAGATGTTCCAGAGTTGGGAGGGGACCTTAGGCCTAAAGCACGTTTCCAGGAAATTCTTGGGAAGCTGCTAGCCTATACTTGAAGCACGTAAGTGCCAACCATTCCTCACATATACAATGAGGTACAATAGGACAACTATCACCTTGGCATTTGTGGTATGGATTGATTGGAATTAGGTACAAACTCTTCAAAAACAAACAAAAATACTCCTTTTCAATTATGAAGATTCAACATAAGTTAGTTATTACTACATTTCATCAGAGGTGGAATTCCAAAGCTTCTGGCATTAGACAATGACCCTCATCCTTAATAATGGAATCAAAGTACACATGTTCCAAATAAAGGGGCTCCAAGAGCTCTGGGTAATCACTGTAAAAGTCAAATGTGCCACAATACGAAGGTATTGAAAATCTGTTTCCACCTTTCATATATATTAAAGCTTATTGTATAAATTCTATCTTACCCTAAGTCTTGGCACTATCGTATTGCATTGATTTGCTTGGCATTGATTTCATGGGGAACTGATAAGAAATGGAAGTTGGCCAGTTAGGAATGTCAGACTACAGAAACATTACTTATATAAGTGGCCAACTCTATTATTAGTCTATAACCATATGTTCACTCTGTGAGGTCACTCTGTGCAAATTTTAGAACAATATATAATTCATGAATTACAGGAAAGCTTTTGGTGGATCTGAATGAGGATGACAGTTTAGAGTATATCTTACATGTTCTTTAGAATTCCAACACTGTAATAATGCAATTATAAAATAATGAAGGCACTGATAATCTCTCAGGCTGGTGGAATGATAGTGCATTTAGCTGGCCACTACCTATACCTGGGGGTAGAGGAGACAGAGGAGAAGGAAAGCGAGGGCAAGAGGAAGAAGTGGCAGATGGGAGAGACCCTACCCTTCCTTGCCAGGTTCTGCTCCATTTCTGCTCCCTTTTCTAACAAATCTCCTTGAAAAGGCTGTCTACACTTGGTATTTTCAACTCCTCTTCTTCCACTATCTCAGACTCACTTCATCAGGCTCTGCCTGCTCTAACCAAGCTCAAGGATATCGACTTGCTAAACGGAACTGTTAATTCTCAGCCTCATTGTGCTTGACCAACAGCAACATCTGACCCATGTCTGTCACTCCCTTTGCCTTGGTAGACTTTCCTCACTCCATCTCGGCTTTCTTCCTATCAACCTGATTTTGGTTTCTTTGGCTGGTCTCTCCGTTTTCCCAACCTTAATGTTGCAGTCTTAGGATAGTCCTTGGGACTCCTCACCTTTCTCTGCATACCCTTTCACCTTCAGTGATTTCTTCCACTTCCATGGCTTTAATTATCTATGCCAACTATTCCCAAATTTATCTCATGACCCAGACTTCTATCCCAAGCTCTAGGCTTATATATTCATTTGCCTCCCTGACACAAACTTATTTGGCCCAAAACTGAATCGCTGATATCCCCTCTAAAAACCCTCCAATGGATCACCATTTCACTCAGAGTAACACTCTACAATAGCCTTCAAAGCCTTGCATGGTCTGGCTTCCTCTTATTCCTCTACCCTTCTTTTATTACTCTTTCTTGGTAACTCTACTTCAACCACGCTGTCCTCCCTGAAATTTCATACCTACTCCAGGCACATTCCCACTTTAAAATGATGCAATAAATACAACTAATAATTTGCTCTGACTATTCCTTCTGTCTGGAATTCTCTCCCTCCAGATGTATAAATGGCTAACTTACTCTCCTCCTACTCACAGGCCTCAAATGTTACCTGATGAATGAGGCTTACTACAACCATTCTAACTCAAAAGTGATTTGCTCTCAAGGACACCCAATCTGCCTTGTCCTGGGCTATTTTTTTTTTTTACAAAGCATTTATCACTTTCTAACCTAGAACAAAATTTTCTTATTTATCATTTGTTGTCTATTTGCCCTTTCCTTACTGCAAGAAAGTAAGCTCACAAGGGCGGGCATATTTATCTCTTTTGTTCACTGCAGTCTCCTGTTCCATCTCTGTACTTAGCCTACCTAGCCCACTGGGGGCTTGAGAAATACCGGTTGAATCTATGAAGAGAGAGACAGCAAAGAGAAGTGGGAAGGAATGAAGGGTAGAAAGGATGTAACAGTAAAGATAACTGTAGATGATAACACGGCCTAGAAAAGAGCATATGGAATTATACAGATAAGACAAGAAAGACAAGAAATTATCCAGTACAGTCAACTCCTTGTGGGTAGAATCTGAAATCTTTGAGGCACCTAGAGATCACAGGAAAGGACCCAAGCCATGCAGATAGGCCTATGACATAAGTATTCTGGCCAAAGAATATGCCACTAATTAATGTGCCACAAGCCTGGCATATCCCTGAAAATATCCAATTGTCATCTTGAGGAAGTCTTCAGTTGTACCATATGCATGGAGTTAAGAGCTAACATTTCTGCAAAAAGACTCTTGGTAGAAGTAACACAGAAATACTTAAGAGGTTTTGAGTGTTCAAACTTAGAGCATGAGAAAATAATATGCACCCAGGCTTGGAAAACACTCAGCAATACACTGAGACGCAGTGAATTCTGTTTTTTGTTTTGTTTTGTTTTTTATGTTTATTTTTGAGAGAGGGAGACACAGAGCATGAGCAGGGGAGGGGCAGAGAGAGAGGGAAGCACAGAATCTGAAGCAGGATCCAGGCTCTGAGCTGTCAGCACAGAGCCTGACGTGGAGCTTGAACCCAGGAACTGTGAGATCATGACCTGAGCCGAAGTTGGATGCTTAACTGACTGAGCCACCCAGGCACCCCTGAATTCTGGGTTCTTATAAAGACCAATTTTACATACCTATGTCCATCAAGCCTTATGTTTCCAACAAAATCGTACAGATGTCTGTTTGGACTTTCACACTCGATTCTGCCAGAAATTCTCATCAAACTGTCAATGTCTTTTATATCTGATGTTGCTGGTAAGCCCTGTTTAGAAATTTTTTAAAAAGCAAAAGAGTATATTAATTGCATTGTGTGCAGGAGGAGGGGGGATTCTGAATTCTTCTCAGTCTTAGGATCTAAGACGTCCCACTATTTTATAAGCAAGTCTCCTCCCTTACACAGTACTGTTTGTCAAATCATAATTAAGGGTCACCTTCCTCTCTACTTGAAGACAAGAATAGGGTAACTTTTGTGAAAGATCTAAAACATACTTGAGACTATTAACTTGACTGCAAAGATATTTTGAAGTCCTCAAAGAATTGTGTGTTTCCAAAAATAAAATTAATATTTAGCATTACACAGTCTGCCTGCTGAATCTCAAAAAGAGAATGCAAAATAAATAGAACTATGTCCAAAGAGAATCGTTACATTTCTTTTCTGTTAGTCCACTGAGAAGGAAAACTCAAAAATAGTTCCTCCCTCTGGCCAACTAGCTTCTACTGGCTGGCAGTGAACAGGACCCCGCTTCCTGGGGCACTCTGAGTTCAGGTGCCCTGATGACCTACTTCCATCACATCCCAAACTTCTCACTTGTCATTTCCATCATCCCCCTAGAACCCCAGAGAGTACATTTTTAAAAGTCTCCTCCTTAAAAAGACCGTTGCTTTCTATCGGAGATGGTATGAGAAGCAAATACAGAAATCCTAACTATTCCATGAGATTAGTGAGACTTTTAGAACAGCAATGGAAACTATGCCTTTTTGATACAGCAAAGCCAAATAATAATTTGGGCCAGGCGAATGGGGATGATTAAATACGCGAACACATGTCAAAGTACTTAGAACTACTAAAATTATCATCATCAGGCTGTTGGCTATTACATGAAATATTAAAAGTGTTACAAATAATATCTGTGTGATGGACTATATTTAATCAGGCAAGTAAATCTGAGTCTTCATCTCAGTCAAAGACACCTCTTCATAGTGGCTCAGCAAGAAAGTATTTGCAATTAGATAGTCACTTCAATTCAAGACAATACCAGAAATAAAGCTCTTGATTCCGTGTAATAAATCAGTAAAAATTACATAAACCTGTATTAGATCTTACCTGCCTAATTTTCAGGTTTGTTTCACCATCTAAGTTGGATGTTTCAATGTAGCACATGGCCTGGGGCTCACTGTTATTTAAAATTGAAAAGCAGAGAGATTTAGTGGGGGAAGAAAAGCAAAATAATAACTTATTTAAATGCTTAGACTCACTGAAGCCTTTTGTTTTAAACAAAGCTTTAGTCGTCTAGTTTCATGATGATTTCCACTCTAAGTGCTAAATGCTGGGAGGCAGAACCCATGCGTCACAACTCATGGATCAGCTTTTCAGCTAGAACGACCACAAAGCAATTTCCTGATGCCAATCAGTACTGATCTTCAAGCTAATGTGGATGATTAGATTTGTCATGTGATACTTAAATTGCTCATCCATAACGACACGACACAGACTGTATCTGAAATGTAAAAGCAGTTTTGTGTCCAGCTTTATCTTTAGCTCAAAAATATCAAGTGAGATTTCATGCTTGTAGCCCATGTATAAATTGGTTAAGGAAAGTGATTAGAAAATTCCAGATTGCTGCTTCTATAAACTTTCAGTGACTACCTTTTAAGAAAAGATGAACAGGATCATACGAACCATAATATTTAAATTTTAAGGCTACTTTTAAAAACTGTGTGAGATTTTACAATGGAAGTAGATATATACTTTAGATACATACTTCTGTTTTTGTTTTTTTCTGCTCCTGTTCTCTTTCTTGAGGTTATTTCAGAGATTCTTGTGGCAGAAAAAGCTAAAACTAAAAGCAGCCAACTTGGCCATATTGCTCCTTGACCTGCACCTAGGAGGTCCATTTCATGGGTCCCCACCAGAATGTGTTTGGAAAAGTTTAGTGAGTGGTGGCTGGCAGAAGGGATGCACATTCTCCAGCATTATCACAGGTACTACGTCCTGGACTGTGTATATCCTTTCCCTTCACAATCTGACTTTATGTGCCCAGCAAGTATAGACAGGTGAGTCTGTCATCTAACTGTATCCTCAAGTGTAAGGAAAAATGTTCTGAAGTTAAATCAATCTCATTAGCACTTGGTTATACAATAAGCCTTAGTAACATCATGGAAGTATAAATGTAATCTCTGATAAGCATATGTATTCAAAGTTAGAATGGAAAAAGTTTGTCAGTTACAAATACCTGGATCTTCTAATCAACTTCCAATTTGTACATGTGCAAAACACATTATTTCAAGTTTCAGAAATGGGCAGGTAGCTTAGTTTTGTGGCCTGGAGATTTGTGAAAATTGCTGAAACATACGGTCAATGATCAAATATTTTACAGATTCATTTTAATGTAACTTTGCAAGTTCTTCAATTCACTCAGTGGATTTTTTTTCTCCCATAAAGGCTTATATTTTTTTCCCAACTGGAGAAATTTTTCAGTATTTATATTTTCGCTCTATTATATTCAACATATCATCTATCCAACATTTAACTTGGCTCTAGTAACTGCTAATTTGTAACTTATATATACATTTGAAACATAAATGGCTTATGAAATTTTAAAACATATCTTCCGACAATATAGAAGCATGGTGACAGATGTTAGGTGAACAATGAAGATTCCATACTTTGCCAGTAAAATGCATTAAAATATTACTGATCAATATGTTCAAGGCCATTCTCACATTAAAATGAGACTACCATTCTATCTTTTTTTTCACAAAGCAATTTTTCTAGGACTTTACATGGCTAGGAAGTTAAAAAGTTAAACGGCTGACTTCTATTTGAAGTGGGGCAAATAAAATATGCATCCGAATTCAGAACATTCTTAATCCCTTAAGACAGCTGTTACTGAAGCAGTTCTTAATAGTGTTATGAAAAAGCAGCAAGAAGTTTTACATAAGGGATCATGCTACATAATAAATATTTCAGCAAATTATGGTGACATCCAAACGCAAGCTACAGTCAGAGAGGCAAAGCAGGCTTTTTGATTAGTAAGTGGAAAGATGAAACAAGATGCATATCACAATACAGACACTGGTAGACGGCTGAACTTTACCATGGGAACATGCACTTTGCCACTAGTAACAAGTGGGATAAAAACTGATCCCAAAGCATGCGGTACAAAATGTACAACATCCAGCTTTGTGCAGGGGGTCCTCTGTAAACCCTATACAAGCCCAAATTATAGTCATAATTGCTGAAGGGATTATACAGAACTCACAGTAAGTTTCAAATATAAGAATAAGGCAAAATTTCAATGACTTCATTTCATGAAAAGCTTAACACTGTTCAAAACAGTATCCTGGAGAGGTATTAAATTCAGCCTCGGTATTTAGGCATGTTGTTAAATATGGATATATATTAATGATGCACAGGAAATTAAAATCTACCTTTACTGGCATGCCTCATGAACTCCTATTGAGAACAATAGGAGCTGAATCTTCCCACCCGAGGGACAAACAGCATCCAATGTTGCATTCATAAAAGGCCTTTAAAATATTTGTGAGATGTCTATCTCCAAGAAGTATAAAAATTTTTGTGTTTTACAGGAAGAGACATAGAACTCAACCATCTTTGGGTGTAATTGTTCTCTGCTGTAGGGTGAGGATCCACATACACACATCCTGTACGACTCAGTGGTTCTAACCTTGAGGACAGGCTGATGAGATCTGCTGGGAGATGTTCCCCATTGGTCACTTTCACTATTTCCCCTACTGCCACCTACAGGTCCCAGTTTAAAATAATTGAAACGGAAAAAAAAAATGAAAAACAGAAAAAAGAAGAACCAAACAAATGGACAAAAGAGACAGAAAGTTTGAAATTATTATAGAAAATAATACATGTTAATAAAAATGTCTAATGTCCATTTTTTCAAAATTTATTTTGATCAGGTCTAAAGGCACAAGAAAATGTGAAATATTAAAGGATTACTCAATTTGAAGCCCAGTTTTCAATTTTTAATGTGGAAACTTTTGCTCCTTCTTTAAAGTTTATTCACAAGACTGTCTTCTCAAAAACAAAATTTTATATAGTTACTTTATCTTACAGATTTTCCTTTCTCCAATTCCTCACTCTCACGCCATCTAGTGTATGACCACTCCTACCCAAAAAGGAAAGAACTGTGGGAACAATTCTTTGAAAAACCAAGTATATTAGTCCTCTCCACCACCATCCCCAATACACTTAAAAAAAAATATTAGAAATTTTCTGATTCTGAAACATTTTGAAAGTTAACTGCATACATATCATTACCTTTAATGCAAAGCTGTAAAGACATGGGTTTTAGGAAGTTAGAAGGCATAATCGCAGCCTTTTGAGTTGTTCAATAATTCATTAAGTCTTGGTGATGCATTGTCTTAAAAGGGTAATAAGCCTTTGAACCCAGGAGAAGTTTTTCAGAGAGGGTATGAAATAGACATGCCAGGAACCTGTGTGGACTTGAATGAACAGCTTGAGTTATTTTACTCTATATTTTACTTTCTAAACTTATATATGTATTTGTTATAAACTAAAACTTGTTTCTTCAAATGGAAGTGAAAAATCAATGAAACACAGTAACTTTCAACAATGTTCATGCTTTATTTTCAAACTACCTCAGAAAGGGTGCACTATTAGTAATTAATAATTGAAAATATTTGGAAATTAAACTGTTACAAACTGTTGTTTATGTTTACTGTTAAATAATGCTCATCTGCAGGTGAGAATCACCATGTCCTTATTCTGATAGTGGACAGCGTGGCATAATGAAGGGATCAGATTAATTAGGGATTAAATATTCCCACCTTGACTTAGTCGTTAGGTAAAGTTAAATAGCAAAAAATAAGACTTGAAGTCAAAGTTACGCTTTCTGTTAAATGAGGACACAAACTTCTACCTATTTGTTAAGGTTAACGTACATTCACAAGAGTAGTGCAAAACTTTTTGAGAAAAAACAACCCTGAAAGGTGGCACTTTGCCACTGGGATATAAATACATAATGGAAGAGGCTTTATACTTTGAGTCCTACTAAGTAACTAAATGCAATGAGTCACACAATCTTTTAAGAAGTAATAATCTTTGGAGGAAGTTAATCTCTGTGGCTGCTATAGTAAGATATAGAAACTATTGGGGCACCTGGCTGGCTTAGTTGGTGAAATATGAGACTTGATCTTGGGGTTGTGAGTTTGAGCCCTACGCTGGGTGTAGAGATTACTTAAAAATCTTAAAAAAAAAAAGATAGAAACTATTTCCATCTACCATATCTATACTTATACTACAGTATCTGTGAGCCACCAGTGAGTGTTTTTAACGTTGAGGAAATAACTCCTGTAAAAATGCTCCAAACTTAAAAAAAATATGAGCACAGAGCTTTCTGGGAGTTTCTGGGGGTGGATAGAGGCTGATGAAAAGTATTTTTTAAAACTTTCAGTTCAAAATTATGTATAAAGTCAGGGCAATATAGTCAAGTATCTTCATGCTTTGGAGCATACAAAAAATAAAAAGTGTAATTAATGGTACACATACATGATATTCTCTATGATAAATTATGTCTCTCTGATAGGCATAATCAGGAAAACACGATTACTTTCTTAAATTGCTGGAATGCTGTATTATCACTTTGAACTTTGACCATTTAGATGGTCAGTCATCTACTACATTTATCAAACTTTTATTTAGTACCACCGAGTGCCCATTGTTCTGTTGGCTAGGCATTCTTACAACTTAAATAAATAAAAACTTACTGAATCTAAAGAAGAAGGAGAATCAGGGAATATCAGAGTTTCGTCATCTCCTCCCTCTTCCTCACTTTAAAAGATGTGAAATCAAGGCCTGGGAGATGAAGTCTTTTGTTCAAAATCACCAAGCCAGGGTAAGAATCCTGATTTCCTGTCTCCTAGGCAGAGTGTTCTCTAGTACCTGATACCATCTGGTATGTTGAGGCAGTGACAGCAAGCTCAACTGTTAAACTCATTCTCACACAGCCACATGTGGACCAGTACCTCTACTTCAGTTTTAGAAACCGACCCTAATTAAAGCTATGAGCAAAGAAAATTAGTAACGAAAAGGCTGATTTAGAAACCCATTAATTTTAATTTTTCCGGAAATAAAATCTATAGGTGACACAAAAATCTCCCAGCTATAAAGTATGAAAGTACAACTACCTACAGTACTTCAACTACCCATAGACTTATTTCTATAAATATCTGGAGGACTTTTTGCTCGGTTAAGTATCACTAACTTGTTATAAGTCCAATCACTTTAAATAATGACCTGATTAAATAGATTTTGAAAAAAGGACACTGTCCATATTTATATGTGGATTTTACAAATAAAACTGTCCAAGGAAATGATGATAAACAACCTCTAAGATATTAAAAAACATTTTTCTTAATTTATATTAGGACCAGTTTTACAGTTTTTAAACCCCAAACCATTTGAAAACCGCATTCTTTAAAAGGTAACGGTGCCATATGTTCTGAATATTAATTCATGACTGTCTTAAATATGAATAAAACAAAAATTATCTAAATTCAGTCATGGAAAGGATTTAAAAGAGCAAAATACTTCAATTTTTTTTGTTGTTGTTGTTGGAAGAGTATGGCGTTTCAAAAGGTATGACGACAAAAACGAAAACATTCATCCATTTTCTTGCACTAATGTCCCATAAAGATCAAGAAGGTTTGGAGGGATATATTAATGCATCATAGAAGAATTTATCATGAACAAGGACTGCAAGATAAAAATCAATAGAACCCCATCCATGTATTATATAAAATAAGCAACAGGAAATCTCATGAGTTAGTGGTCCACACACAAGGATCTGGATGTAGCCAGAGAGAGAGCAGACTTCTAATTGTAATGATAACTTTTGAATTACACAGGATAGTACCTATCACTTATTCTATATGGCAAATAAGAAAGAGTCCATTAAGTCCAATCAATTTTTTAATGTTTAATTCAAAATCATTAGAGAGGTTTGAAATTCTTCGTTTATTCCTTATTTCCTTGGAGAAATCACAAGGTCAATGCAGGGTAGAGAAACCATCCTCTACACTGTTTGAGCATCAGTAGGTAATCTCTACCTTGATGAGAGAAGTACAGTGTCAGCAGGTATATACTCTTTGCCTTTTATTATAACTATATCTCCAACATTTACCTGAAAGAAAACTGGGAATTGGTTAATTATCTGCATTGAAAGATAGTTACAAATATACAACCCACTGTATTTAAGCATAGAACACAGTAAAAAATGGTTACTGGCAAACAAGAACCACTTATCTTCACAAAACGGCATAAAATGATCTAGGAGTGAGGCCAAGGATGGGACAGTCCTTTAAAATATGAACACTGTATCTTTTTTTTCCAACTACAGGGCTTAGCTTAATAAATCCATCCATTTTATCCATTGACATCTCAACTTCTCACATTCTCTATGACATAAAAATAAAAAGGAGGAATTTACCAAAGGTGATCTTTACCCTGCTTAAGGAAATCTCAGTGCAACTGGAAAAGCTACCTACCATATATATATGATCATTATTCCTCATGATGGTCTTATAAAATAGGTTTTGATTATAATTTACAGTTTAGAGAGGAAAAAAAAAGAGTCTTATTAGCTTCTAAGTTATTTCCCTAAGATCACAGTGAGAGGAAGAGGTTAGACTCAAACCCTTATCTGACTGGCTGCAAAGCTTGATTTTGCGTAAGTAAATATAGTAAATCTATGTTGTATTTTAAATTAAAAAAAAAAAAAAACAACAGCTTAATATCTTCCTGGCTTTTCTACCCAGTAGCATTTTTGTGAACATGTCCTAAAGACATATTAAAGATATAATGAGCCCAGAAACTTTCTAGAGGTGATTTAAGTGATATAGTGTCATAGAGTTTTGAGCAAACATTAGGACTCCAACTAAGTCACAACTGGACCAAGTTACACTGATAACCACTCTCATTAGATCACGAAAGTGCCCTGTTAGGAGCCAAATAAACCTCCAAATAAGCTGCAATACTTAATCAAGAGAAGAAAAGTCTTTTTTTTTTGTTATTGTTAAAGCCTTTTTGTTCTTTCCTCTCTCAACTTTTTCTTGAACCCTAAAATAACACTTTATTGGATGGGGGGAGGAGAGAATTGTGTCCTCAGCAGGAATCACAATAAGAAATTATTGCAGAGACAGACCACTGTGGTTACTTTATATGCTGGGGGAGGAAGTTAGACAAGGTTGGAGGGGGTCTTCTCGTGTATGGTATGTATGTTGGCTATCCAGGTAGGGAAGCTCTGATTCAAGGGAGATTTTAGCTGAAATCTGGATGATTGGAAACGGACAAATTTCCAGGGACGTTGGAATCAAACACACCAACCCTCAAAAAAGGGGAAGTAACAAAACCCCAGCAAGTATAGGTGTAAACAGGCCCGTTATGTGTTGTGATTGTACTCTGATAGCACCCAAGATCAAGAAGTATAAGGTCAATGGAGCTACGGCATTTGGAGAGAATGTTACCCAGACTAGCATTTAAATGTTCTTTAATCTCCTATTTCATGTTAATGTTTGCTACCCAATCAGACTATATGCTTCATAAAATCGAATAGTTGTCTACATTATAGTGTAAGAGTTTAACACTCAGACTTACAAAAATCCCTTACTGATCCCACTGCTTTCCCACATCTTTATTCATTGTTAAGACAAAAGCAAGGCTTGTGGTCATTCAACTGAGGACTGAAAGAAACTATTACCACCTTACACGGTGGTATGAAGTAGTTAGTTACTCAGGGGCCTGTGAAAACCAAAGGCTCACCACTGAGAGCTAAAGCAGTTCTTGCAGTACTATGAGGACAGCAGGGAACTTACCTGCCCCCTCCTTATGATGCCTGTTTTAGATCGCTTCTCAAACACGACCAAGCACCTCTCTTTCTTTTTTTGGTTTTGCATTCCTAATGTGGCATTCCCCCTTTCCAGCCTAGTGTGTGCATAAGATTAATGGACAGAAGAGAAAGTCAAGTTGGTACAAATTCCTTGACCACATGTTCTCAGTGGAGGAACATCATGACAAAGCACTTAGTTCCCCAAATGCTGATGTTAAGGAAATATTCAGGGCTTTAGACCATCACCTTGAGCCTTCTCAAGTCACTGACATTCATACCTACAACTGAGGATTATGTAAAAGAGTAAGTTTATCAAACTGTAATGGACTGATTTATAATCTTTGTCCAATTACAGACCCCAGCATATTAATATTTTTACTAAGGAATTTTTGGATATAAATTCTAAATCCAAACAAAAGCATTTCATGCTAGAAACTTCATGTCTTAAAGCAGTTTTAGGGAGTGACCTGTACACCTGCAAAAAGCCCACCACTCCATACTTCTCTACAAAGCCAGGAGAATGTGCTGAGTCTAAGATCCCTCCTAAATTCTCTACCTGCAACTATCTCCAAAACCTGTGAACAATTTCAGCTGCATCTCAATTTGAAGAACTAGACTTTGCGGTCAGGGCCATGGAAGGCAGTAGCTTACACATCAAGAGTGGAGATGCAGTGCCTTGTATAGGGCTTTGTCACTGCAATACTTGCTTTGGAAGTCAGGCAGTTTAACTTTGTGCAACAGAGAAAAGTCTTCAGGGCAAAACTGGAGAGATGAACTATTAATGTCTGAGAGCTGAAGTGTGCCCATCTGTGAATGACTGGACGTATGCTGTGCAAAACTGCAGGTCCTCTGAGGACAATTAAAAGGTAGCCGCAGTAGCCACACATTTAGAAAAACAAAGAAATCAAGTCCTGAAAGAAAGCCCCATTAGCGCCGCTAAGGGTAATATGCTTATTGTATTACCCTGGCATGAGGATCAGACTCTTGGTTTCAGTTTATTGATTTTATTTTTAATTGCACAAAATGTGACATAAGCTAAAGAGAAGACTTGTCCCACAACCTGGCTAACCCAATAAGCCAGGCTGCTTGCCTGTCTACTCAGTGTTCAATAAACCATTTTTACATAGTTGACATCTTAGCGTAAATGCCTCTGTTCTTCTCACCTATGATTATATTTCAGACACAGGGACCCTCATATGTCTTGCTTGCTCTTCACTGCTTGGCACATACACTCAATAAATATTTGCTGAATGAATGGTATAAAATCTTTCTATGATGCCACAGTATTTGAAATTACAACTTTTACTTATCACAAAATATGCCAGAGTGTAGAATGTTGTAATTTAAAAAACATTTTCCCAGGGCACCTGGGTGGCTCAGTCAGTTGGGTGTCTGACTTTGGCTCAGGTCATGATCTCACAGTTCGTGGGTTTGAGCCCCATGTCGGGCTCTGTGCTGACAGATCAGAGCCTGGAGCCTGCTTCGGATTCTGTGTCTCCCTCTCTCTCTGCCTCTCCCCTGATCACTCTCTGTCTCTGTCTCTGTCTCTCAAAAATAAAGGTTAAAAAAAAAATTAAAAAACACTTTCCCTACTGGTGGATATCCACATTAGTCTACCTTTTCATTGTTATAAAAAATGTTACAATAAATATTTTTATGCATGTACAGGTTTTTTCTTCTACTTAATCATTATTTTCTCAGGTTAAATTCCCAGAATCCCCTTTTTATGATTCTCAATATGAAGACCTAAATTATTAATCCACAATAGTATGTGAATGAAATACTTCATAAAACAAAAAATCTTAAGTAAAGTAGAAGTATAGCAAATGAGACACCAATATTGCTTAAATTTGCAACTTTCATAACTAGGTTGATATTACACTGAATCTGGTTGCTTATTACAGATCTTCTTGCTTATTGCCAACTTTTATTTCCTATTTATATAACAATTTCAATCTTTTGTCCTATTTGGTGCAACTATTTTTCCCTATTGTGCCTAATTATTTGTAGTGGCTTTTGCTGTGCATTTTTAAAAAAATTTATAGGATCAAATTCCAGACAGCTTGAGATCTTGCTCTTCTCCAAATATTTCTTAAAGTCTTTATTCTATTTGTATGTTTTTCAAGACCAACATTTTAACATTTAAGCCAGCTGGAATTTATTTTAGCATGGGATGTGACTTAGATATAAACTACATTATTTCCTGAAACTTGCAAGTTGGTGATTTCCAACATCATTTATTAAATAATTATTTTATCAATGATTCTTTGCCCTCTTTATTAAATATTAAATGGGCTTTATTTCAGGGCATCCTAGTCCCTTTTCTTCTGGTCTATTTTACTCTATTTATCAATGCTTATTTTGGCAACAGAACCATACTATCTTAATAACTTCTGCTCTCCATTTTACTCATCCTTGCACACAGCTCATTTTCCCAAAATATTCTTCTATTTTCTTGACTGTTTCTTTTTGAAATTAAGATGAATAATTTAGTCAACTCTTGAGGAAAAAATAACAATTTCCCTGGGATTATATTGCACCAATACTTTGGAACAACTGGTACTTTTGGTTTTGCTAGGGATTTGACATAACTGCCCATTTATGTCAATCCTTAACACCTAAAAAGCTTTGATGTTGTCTTTACAAAGGTCACATACATATCTTAAATTTATTTGTAAGCATCTCACATGCCACTGGGAATGAGATCTTTCATTGTATTTTTCTAATTTGATATCTCCAACAAAAGAAATGCTGTTAATTTTTGAGTATTTATCTTGAATTCATCATTGAACCAACTTTTAAAAATTCTAGTTAATTAAGTATCTAATACCAATTATTAAGTAACATCAGTTCATGCTGGCTGGGTAACTTTTGGCAACACTTTAAATTTTATTCCTCTGCTTCTCTAAGTGGGATGCGCAGGGAGGGTGTGGCACTGATCTCCAAGACAACAAAGAATGCTAACATTATGGGTAATCATGGGCTGCTGATTTCTTGTCTGTGAAAAACTGAGTTACAGTAATTCATTCAATCTTGAAATAATGAAAAAAAAAGACATCGGTAAAATAAGACATTGTAATAGGCTAATTTTAGAGGAAAGTCATGCATGCTTATCTCCTGACTTTATGACTGCTTACTTTGGATAAGATGGTAAGAAACTGATATATCAATTTATTAAGAAACGTGTCTAAGCTAATTACTATGACAAACCTAGTAAATGATACACATTTATAATACAATTCAATTCGTCATACTTGATTACATCCTACCAATCTTCTAAAATGTTTAAATCCACAAGTGCCAAAGAAGAGCAAAAGGAGCTTCTTCATTTTTTGAGCTTTTTCATTTTTTTATTGTGCTTCTCTGAGCGGTGACTATGACAGGACTAAGGAAAGCACAGTCAAGGTATTTTCCTCTTTGTTACTTTTATGTCAAAGACCAGAGTGAGTAGTGAGTTTTTAAACACGCAGGAAGGGAGATGTCAATCTTTATTTTGGCCACTGATTTAAAATGAGAAAAATGCAATCAACTGAGAGGGAATTTGTTCCCTGCAGGGACACAGGTGACTATGAACATCACAGGGCAGGATTATGGGAATGGCCTTTAAGCTGCTGGGAAATACTGGAAGGCAAGTAACCAGCTGAGTGGGACACCTAAGCTGTTCCTAGCAATCTCAGAAAACAAAACCCCCAGGTAGAGTGGCTTTGCCTCCAAAAGTCTTTCACCAAGTTATAAAGGTTCTTCGCTTGCGAATAGAGTTAGACTCTAGTTAGACTAGAGTTAATGGTCTTCCAGGACTAAGGGAGAACTAGTAACAATTGCTTACCTTTTGAAACTGAGGTCTTAAAAGCACTTAGATAACACATGTTAAATGATGACTCAATTCACTAACTGCCATGTTACACGTCCTGTGAGCATGTTAACCTCTCGAGACTATGGAATTGATTTCCAGTTCATTAGAAAATGATGTTTAGGTTAGTAAGTTGTTTTGTTTGTGTTTTTTTTTTTTTTAAGGAACTCTAATTCTTAGTTTTGCTTGGACAGTAGATGATTAAAGCAAAAAGTTTCAACACAAAACAGTTCATGGTTAAATGAAATCTATGAAAAACAGTACTCAAAATATACTATGAAAAACAAAGAATTCCAAATATTACTTTTCAAGTCTTTCTAGCATATTTCAGAATTAAATGAGAGTGACTAAAGACTCCACGTATGTTTACAACATTAATTACTAAACAGCTTTCATATCAGAATTCATGACATTTGTTTACATCACACACAAAAATTGTATCTATTAGAGTACACATCGATGCGCTTCTTCTGGAACAAAATAAAAATCAATGCATACCTTTTCCCAGTGCACAATTTCCCAAGCACCATTTCTCAAAACTGGAAAAAGAAAAGGTGACATTTTTAGAAACATTTTTACTACTTATTAAAAGCCTGCTTCTGAGGAAATGATCATTTTAAATGGACAGCTTCAAAAAATGAACCAGCAGCAATTTTTATAGATTTAAAAATTAATTATGACAGCAAAGATGGTATAAAATTACACAAAGAATTAAAAAAAGCACATTTTAGATCCCACAATAAAACATTACTAGCAGAGGGTAATCTCACTGGTGCTCAAGGGCTTTCTTGAGCACAAAGAAGAATTACAGGCCACGGCTGGAGGAGAAAGCCACACAAATGATGTGAAAAGGGAGTGACAAGCTAAAGGAGCATTTCAGAAGCCATACAGTAGCAATGTTTAAAAAAAAAAAAGAAAGGGTTTACAGGCACAGAAGAAACAGATTTCACATCGGTTAGTAAAAATTTAACACATAAACAGATAAAGAATTTGCGCCTTTAGTTTTCTAATAGTGCAAAATTGCGTAAGTTTCCATATTTGGTTTACTGAGAAGAAATGAAAGAAGAGGCTACTATTAATTTATGATAGAGGGATACTTTATTAGTGTCTTATTACTGCTTCACAGCAGTAACGTTGCTCAGTACATCTTTTTTCATCCCCAGTATGTGTCTGTGGCATAATATTGAATATACCAATAGACACTAAAAGATAAAACAAAACAAAACAAAACAAAAAAAACCAGTAAAGATAATAATGCAAGGTAGAAAGTATAGCACTTAGTACTTAAGGAATAGGTCAAGGTCAGTCACAAATTATCCCCACAGTAAACTGCATGAGGGCAAAGCCAGTATTTGCACCATTTAATAATATTCCCTGGAAACAGCACAGTCCCTGGTGCAAAGGAGCTACTCAGTAAATATATGCAGGAGAAATAATTGATCGGTACAAAACTTTAGATTCAGATTCTTTTGATGTTAGCAAAGTTGAAACCTGAGCCCTCTGAGGTAAATCACAATGATAATAACCTCCAAAATGTTAAACAGCAAAAACAGCATTAGTCACATACCAACAGGTCTTGCAGTCAGTATTACGATATAAATTAGTTTAATGTAAATACAATCTTTTTTGCTTTTCAAAATTCCCTGAACACAAGGCTGTGTCTTATTCATTTTCTCATGGTACCTCACAGCACTCCTAGTAAGACACTCAAATGTTTGTTAAAGAAATGAATAAGTCCAACAATGAATATCCTACAGTGCATTTTGGTGAATCCACCTCATTAAATTAAAACAATAATAATTCCACGTTGAAGAGCTAACACTGAAATATTTCCAGTACAATTTCTATAACTATATGACCAAGTTAAAGTTCCAATTTTTACAATATCGTACAGTTATGGGTCAAGGATCTGAACCGCAGGCATCCAAAAGTGATCACTACATTCTAATACAAAACTCTAATGCCCGCAGAGTTTATCAAACTGATCCCAGGACTACACCTGCTCCTTAATGCTGTTCCCTGAGTACAAGAGGGTCAGGGCATGAGACAGAGTAAAAGGCCACGGGTACAGATGTCGTCTGTCACTGCTTAGCAGTGTCTTTCTCACAATTAGTTGTTACAAAGAATAAAGAATAAATGAGAGGGCTCTGCCTTTTAATGGCTTAATCCAGTAGCTACAATATAGTAAGTACACTTCTCAACAAAGACAGCTAGCCAAGTGCTGCTCAAATCAACTATAACTAAGATTAACTGACACTGCATAATGGGGTCAAATTTGCAGTATTTTAAATTAGAAAAATATTATTCAACAGCAGCCAGAGTCCTTTACTGCCATTTAGTTTCTTCTGATCCTATCTCATATATTCCCCCAATTGCAGTACTTGGGTTTTTAAAAAAATCAGTGCCCAATATTTCTAGAATTGAAATTTGGCATGAAAATGAAGACTTCAGCTTATCTGGAAAGCTCAGAAGGTCACTCAATTCCCGCCTGAGCCTTGAACAGAGCAGTGGCCACCTTTCTCCATGGGGCTCACCGCATTCATGGTTTCCTGTGTTCTCATACCCAGCCTGCTTCCCTTATTTAGGGCAACTGCCTGGCTCATGCCTACGAGGTTTTCTTTTATTAACTGAGGTATAACAAAATGTACAGATCTTAAGTGTTCAATGAGTTTTGAAAACTGTAAACACCTGTGAATCTACCACTCATCACAACACATAAAACTTCAGAAAGATCCCTCACGCTCTTTTACAATCCATCCCTCCATCTCTAGAGGCAAATATAAATTAGTCACCATAGATTAGTCTTACATTTCGTATACATGGACTCATACAGTATGTGTGTATCTGAGATTCTGTCTATCTGTAAGTGACGAATCATTAAATTCTACACCTGAAACTAATATTATACTGTATGTTAACTGCAATTTAAATAAAAATCTGGAGAAAGAAAAAATATATTTCTCCTTAAAGTGAAAATTAAAAAAAAAAAAGATTTTACATTTTCCTAATTAAAGTAACATGGTGCTGTACTAGACTCTAGACTCTGTATTTATTTTACTGATCAATTTGCATATCTTCGCAATACATGGCATCTTGATTATTGTTAACTTTATGGCAAGTTTTGACATTAAGTAAATCTTCTATTTTGTTCTTTTTTTATATAGTTTTGGCTATTCTACGTCCTTTGCATTTCCACATAAATTTTAGAATCAAATCATTAATTCTTAAAACAATACCTCCTGAGATTTTTGATGTGGGGCTTGAGTCTTTCAATCCCTGGGCAACCTCTATCTCTGTATTTATTTACATCTTCATTAATTTTTCTCAGATTTGTTTTTGTAGGTTACCGTATAGGAGTCTTTCATTAGATTTACCTATTGATATTTGATAACTTTTTCTTATATTGTAAATGGTATATTTACTTCATTTCCCACTGGTCACTGGTAGTCTATAGAAATGAATTAAACTTTCATACAATGACCTTGCTATCTTGTAATTTTCTTAAATTCATGTATTAATTTAGATAAGGTTTTCTCACTGTTTTTGTAGCAATACTTCTAAGAAACTTAAATTCTTCTGATTAGTGATGCTATATTGTTGTTTGAGGTGGTTTTATTGTTCTCATATGCCTCACTGTTCATCTCTTTATTTTTAAAATCTCTTCTGCTCTTATATAAAAAAAAAAAAATCACTGAAAATTAGGAAGACATTTTACTACTAAAAATTTCCTGTTGATTCTATGTCTTGAGCATCTCCAATTCTGCATCTCCTCCACCATCACCAACACCAGCACCCCTACTTGAAGCAACCATCATGTGCCCCCAGCTAGAGGTCTGCATTAGCCTCATCATTAGTTTCCCACATTCACTCTTGATCTCTTTCAAATTTAGTGTCTATAGCATAGCTATAATAACTATATATAATGATTATCTATATTTGTACAACTATGGATTCTTATGTATCAGTCCACATATCCTTACATACACACAAATATATATATTTATATATATAAGCGATATATATATTTATATATTATGTTATTTATATATTATATATATTTATATATTATATTTTTATATATTATATATTTATATATTATATATTTACATATATATTTTATGTATATAATATACATATAAATATATATATAATATACATATATACATATGCTGATTAGGTCGCCTCTTACTCAAACTCTTCGTGCCCCCATTGGTTTCATAAAACAAGTCCAAACATCTAGAAGCCTTTGATTTTTTTTTTTTTTTTCACATTTTTATTTATTTTTGGGACAGAGAGAGACAGAGCATGAGGGGAGGGCAGAGAGAGAACACAGGAATGGAAACAGGCTCCAGGCTCCGAGCCATCGGCCCAGGAGCCTGGACGTGGGGCTCGAACTCACCATGGGTCGTGACCTGGCTGAAGTCGGACGCTTAACCGACTGCGCCACCCAGGCGCCCCAAGAAGGCCTTTGATTAACAGCTCCTGTCTAGTCTACCACCACCTCCTGTAGCCCCCTCTGCCCCTCATACCCTGTGGTGAAGCAACATGCTGTTTCCTGCCTCAAATCCTTTGCACATTTCCATGACTGGAACCTTCTTTCCCTCCATCCTCACCTAGATAACTCCTACATAAGTTCCAGATCTCAGCTTTAACACAACTTTTCAAGGGACACTTCATGACACCCACTCCTTTACCACTCCCCTCAAGTCCAAATAAGCTTCCTGCACTTTTCCTTCAGAGTATTAAGGCAGTTCTACTATGTATGTAGTTGAGAGACAATTTATGTAAGGGCCATCTCCTGCCCAAGGCTGTAAGAGCTGTGACAATGGGAACATTTTCTATTCTGTTCACTGCTGAATACCCCATGTTACAAAAGAGTGATACAAAGGCACTCAGTGAATACTTGCTGGATGGAAAGCTGGATTCACTAATGTGTTTGGGACCATATGAAGCCTCAGTAATAGTTACATAGATTTACTAAAGATACAACCCTGCCTCCCCAGTAAGTCCCATGTTAAAAACAACAGATACACAATGTTTACAAAAGAGCTATATGACAAAACAAGTTGGTAATTCCTCAGAAAGTTAAGCACATAGCTACCATATGACTCAGAAATTCCACACCTAAGTATGTATCTAAGAGAACTGAAAACATATGTTCACATAAAAGCTTGTACACAAATGTTTATTGTAGCATTATTCATTCATATTACCCAAAAAGTAGAAACAACCCAAATGCCCATAAATTAATGAATGGTTGAATGAAATGGGGCACATCCACATGACGGAATATTATTGAGCCGTAAAAAGGAATGAAATGCTGATACATGCTACAGCAAAATGAATCCTGAAGTATGCTAAATGGAAGCCAGACATAAAAGGCCACATATTGTATGATCTGATTTGTATAAAATGTCAAGAATAGATAAATCCATAGATACAGAATGCAGATTAGTGGATGTTGGAGGCTTGTGGAAGAGAGGAGTGGGGATTTAATGCCTATATGTATGGAGTTTCTTTTTGGGGTGATGAGAATATT